CCCCCCCCGCGCGCGCGTCATGCGTCAGCTGCTGCTCGATCGGGTGCAAAGCATATGCGCTCCCACATGCAGAACTCACTCGCATGTGCGTAGCATTCGGGAAGAAATGTTCCTTGTAATGTCGCGCCGCTTTCAATACCATGGCGTGACGCTGCCCCACATCCACCACGCGCTGCTTATCCATGACCACTTCCAGGCCGTGGTGCTGCTGTTGCGAAAAGTTCTCAGCAGCAGCAGCAGCAGCGGCGGCGGCGGCGGCAGGCGTCTTGCGGTACCTGGTGTGCGCATCCTGTTCGAGATGCTTGGTGGCGGAGATGAGGTGCGAAGGATGAATGGGCGATGCATCTTCGCTTGCAATGTGCAGGATCTCTCCGTTGCGGCCTAGACGTGTAGAGGCGGGACGAGGCAGTGCGGATGCGGATGCGCTCGCAGCGGTGGCATGCTCTGCTGCTGCGCTGCCTGTCCCCACTGCTTGCCCCATCGACCACATCTGCACGGACCATAGAATGTAGACCGATGACGATGCGAAAAGTCGCATGTTTGGCGAGGCGAAGGTGCTTGCCCTTCTGCTTCTCGCTTGTTCGACCTGATCGCGCAGAGCTTGTCAGAGAAAATTGTATATTGGGGGGATGTGCGTGTTGCGCGGATGAACGAGGAGAAGCCTGTCGGAGATGCAGCACCAGATTCGAGCTGCGGGGAAGTTCGAAGGCTGCAACGGTCGATTGGAGAAGAGCAAGACGAGCGGACTTTTGCATTCCATACATTGCGCTTCATTTGCATTTCGGCTCCTAATTCAAAAAGTCAGAGAGAGAGGGAGAGAGGGAGTGTGTGTGTGTGTGCGTGTGCGTGTGCGAGGAGAAGGCGGGCATGTTTGCCACCGTGTTTGCTAAACGGCGTGATGTGTGGAGGGGGGAAAAGTGGCGGAATGGAGCTTTGCGAGCGAGGCGACCATGGAGTGGCAACGGGATGCGCACATGGCAGGAGCGGATTGGTGCAATCGGCGCGCGGGGAAAGTGCTTTGTGGCCGATGATGTCTGCCCTCCAAGAGCGCCCAAGCCGTTAGGTGCTCGTACCGTATTTGGCATCTCAACGCACCTCCGTCAGCCTATGCTGTACACACGAAAGAGGACGGGCGAGCTTGGACCGCTGCATGTGTGGATCAGTCATCGTCAGCACAACGAACACAAGTACGATCCATCAGGCGGCCTCGTCGTGTAGCGTGACTGCTTGCTGCATGCTACACACTTTCTCCCCAAAGAGGGCGCGCAAGGACGGCACACGCATTAAATTGGCTTGGGCGCCAGCATGCGGCCACTCGATGCCTCAACGAGACTCACCGAGCGCCGCGCTGCCCCGCGCCACTCAGACTCCCCGAATCCTCATGATGGCGCGTCGGTCGCTGATGCGACTGCGGCTGCGGCTGCGGCTGCGGCTTCGGCGGGACCAAACAAACGGGGTTGGGCGCAGGGCAGGGCAGGACGGGACGGGGCAGACCCACCGCTCTTGGGGGGCGCTGACTCGACGAGCCTGGATGTGAGCCTCAACCTACGATCGAAAGCCAGCCAGCCAGCCAGCTAGACCCCGCGCACGCTTCGTCGTGCCTGTTGCGTATCCGAATGTTCGACTCGAGACGCGCAACTTTCCCGCAAGATCCTGCCCACCGTTTTCCCCCCAAGTGCATCACCGGTGCGTGGGGGGGTACACAGCCATCGTAGAAGATGTCCGGTGGAGAATGAATGTTCCAACTACAAGTGTCCCAGAAAAAGAATGCCAAATGCGAATGTGAATGGCAAAATGCAGATTTCACAAAGATTCGCCCATCACCAATCAATGCGGTGCTTATAGATGTGCGGGGGGCATGACATGACATGACATGACATGACATGCATGGGCGAGGAACTCGTGAACTGATGAATCAATTCTTGATTTTGATTCTTGATTGTGATTCTAATCTTGAATTCAAGATTTCCACAGAATTTGGAGCGGGATCACGTGACCATCATGCAAAGCTTCGGGCACAGCGTGCATGCATGCATGCACCACTCACGACTCGCCCGCGCCCACGCCCACGCCCGCGCCCACGCCCACGCATCCAGCATATATGCAGTCATGCACGGACGCATGACACCGCGCACCGCAACTGCGCCCTATACACTCTCGAGTCGCGAGTCGCGAGTGTGTATGAAAGGGGGCGGTGATGGGGGGGGATGCTTCGGTCAAAAGTCGCGAGTCTGAGTCAAGAGTCCCGAAGAGTTGCCCATGCAGTCGTGATTGCAGTCTGATGAGTCTGCGTGAGAGAGGGTTTGCTGTCGATCTTTGCATTCACGATTCGCGATTCACGATTCATCTCGATCCTCTTGCACACTCGGACTCGCACGCGCACGCGCACTTGCAAATCGCACTCGCACTCGCAAATCGAAGCTTGGGGGGTGCCTCTCCTCGCGTACTGCCTCGCTCTCTCTTACTCTCACACGCACACGCGCACACGCACACACGCACGCGCGCTCTCTCTCCCCCTCCCCTCCCTCCTACAGCATCGCCTGCCTTGCAGTCCTGAAGAAGAGAAGGGAGCCGTCGTGATGGCGGATGGGGAAGCAGAAGCGGAAGCACGAGCAGCAAGGGCAGCTAGAGCTCGAAAGCAGGTCAGTCTCGAGCGATGGCCACAGCGCCCGCGTTTTGTAGCATCATTGTCCTTTCATTTCTGACCCTCATACCCACCCACGCCCGCACACGCGCGCGCCGCTTCAAGCTCAAGAAGGCGCAAGCGAAACGGAGATTGGCGCAAGAATCTCGCGGGTCTGCGGGTGGAGATGCGCTGGGGAAGGATATTGCGGATGGCAAGTTGACAGAGGCCAAGGAGAGCGTCGAGGAGGGAGAGGCAGAGGAGCGAGGGGAGGAGGAGGGGGAGGAGGAGCGGGAGGAGGGAATGATATCGGCGCAGATGTTGCCCGCGCAGCAGCAGCAGCAGCAGCAGCGACACGCACACGCACACGCACACACCGCCTTCTCTCACTCGCTGCCCACCACGGCCGAGGAGGAGATGGTCGCTGCGGATCAAGGCGCGAATGGTAGCAGCAGCAGCAGCAGCAGCAGCAGCAGCAGCAGCGCCACAACAAAACCCTCCGCCGCCGCCGCCGCCACCGCCGCCGCCCCCCCCCCACACACCACCACCTTGTCCCTATCTCCTCCCACGCCCGCAGCAGCGACGCAGCCATCGCAGCAGCAGCAGCAGCAGCAGCAGCAGCAACTATCACAATCTCCCTCTATGCGTCTGCACGCCCGCACTCATTCCAGCAGCACCAGCAGTTCCAGCGGGACCAATCATGCTGCGCCTTCTTCCCCCACACATGCGCGCACAGCATCATCGGGTATACAAGTCAACGTTCGACCTGCCCATATCCGCTCGCCATCTACCGCCTCTAGCTCTTCCTACGGCGCAGGCGCAGGCGCAGGCGCGGGAATCAGTCATGCCGCTGCCAGACGTCTCTCTTCCTCCCAGCAGCAGCACGACGCATCCCACACGCAGCAGCAGCAGCACGGGGAACATTCTGCAGAAGTGTTGAATTTGAGGAGTACGGTGCAGCTGCTGTTGGGCGACAAGAGCAGTTTGACGAGCAGGCTCAACGAGCTCGAAGGCAAGCTGGCGGCGGCGGCGGCAGCGGCAGCGGCGGCGCAGCAAGTGGACGGCAAGAGGTTGGAGGATGCGAATAGGGCGGCAGAGGATGCGCAGATGCGTATAAGGGAAGTGTACGCGCTGCAAAAAGAGGCGGAAGAGAGGTGCAGAAGATTGGTGAGTGGGTGAACAACGGGTGTCACAGGGGCTAGGTGGCCGTGCTGTGCGGTGGCAGTGCAGTGTGCTGAAAGTCGTGAGCATGCTGATGATGAGGAGAATTATGACGATGCGCAGCAACGAGAACTCAAAGAGTCGCGAGAGGATTCGAATGCGCTCAGAGCTGCAAGCGACACTAGGACGCCTGCCGCAGTGGATGAAGAGCGCATCTCGCACTTGTCGAGTCGGATCGCATCCTTGCAAAAAGACCTGACGTCGTCCAGCGATCGCGCTTCGGCCGCCGAAAAGGAGAGGGAAGAGTTGCGCGCCGCTCAATCGCGAGCTGAGAATGCCTCGACGACGCTTCGCGACGAGCTGAAAAGTCTGCGGCGCGATGCGGATGCGCGAGTCAAGGAGCTGCAGGAGGAGCAGACTGCTCGGAAGCGCGACGAGCTGCGAGAGAGCCAAGAGACGTCTGCGCGTCTTGTGCAGATGAAGCGCGACCTTGAACAAGCTCGTCAGACCCTCTCCACCCGGCAAGAAGAGCACGAGACCGCTCTGGCGCGACAGGCAAAGGAGCACGCGACGCAACTCGATGGTGCGAAGAGGCAACGTGCGGATGCGCTGCTCGAGGCCGAGTCTGGTGCGCGCGAAGCGGCTTTGGCGGATGCTCGCGCGCTACATCAAGAAGAGCTGCAAAAGGTGCGCGCACTGCACGAAGAGGAAACGCAAAGTAGTCGAGCGTCGCATGTCGAAGAGCTGGCACGGTTAAACGTTGCTCACGAGCAGGCTCTGAAGCAGGCGAGCGCAAAGGCAGATTCCAGCAAGCAGACGGACGCGGAAGAGGCTCGGGCGCAAAGGGATGCGGAAATATCGAAGTTGCGCGAGGAGCATGCTTCGCGTTTGCGAGCGGTGGAGCAGGAAGCGCGCGATGCGGCCGACAAGGAGCACAAGGACGCTCTTCGCGAGGTGGAACAGCAGCACGCGACGGCTTTGCAATCCGTAAAGGATTCGACGACGACATCTTTGACGCGAGAGGCTGATCGGCTCAGATCAGCTCACGCGTCTGAGCTCGCGAGCAAGATGACGGAGCACGCTTCGTTGTTGCAGAGCTTGAAGAATTCGCACGCTGCTGAGCTGGAAGCTGCGCAGGCAGGCGCAAAAGGCGATCATCAGCTCGCGCTCGAGGGTCTTCGGGATGCACATCAGGCCGAACTGGCTCGGGAACAGCAGGCTGCGCAGAACGCTCGAGCGAAGGCCGACGACGCGGTCAGGGAGGCTGAGGCGAGGCACGAAGAGCAGCAAAGAGAGCTGACGAAGCGCGCAGAGGAGCTGGATGAGGAGCGCAGGAGGAGCAGAGCGCTGCTGGAAGAGCAGCGCGATGCGTCGAGGCGCGCGCAAGAGGAAGCGGAGCAGAGCAGGACTCGCAAGGAGGAGCTTCAAAAGTCTCATGCGGATGCGCTCCGAGAGGCCCAGACGAGCGCTGCGGATCGGGCAGCGGAGCACAAAGCCGCGCTCGACGATATACGAACAAGGGCCGAAGCGGCGGAGAAGGTCACATTGGGCTTGAAGGAGCAGCTGCAGGAAGCTGAAGAGAAGGCCAGAGCGAGCGCGGCCGAGGCTGAATCGCAGCGCGCCACGATGCTGTCGGATCATGATCGGGCGCTCACGAAGCTGCAAGACGAGCTGCGTGGCGCTTCGGATGCTGTCGAGTCGCACGAAGCGCGAGCACAGGGCCTTTCCGAGGAGGTCAAGAAGCTACGAGGAGAGATTGAGGCGGCGGAAAAGGCTGCAGAGTCGAATGCGCAGCATGTCGAAGCTGAACGCGAACGACTCGAGGCTGAGCTGCGCAAGGCTCGCGATGCTTCGAGTGCGGAAAAGGAGGCTGCGAACGAGGCTGAGAGAGATTTGCGAGTCAAGATTGGTCTGCTCGAAAAGGATTTGGAACAAAAGACGCAGAATCTCGCGGAGCAAGCTGCTTTGCTCGGTGAAGAGAATGCAAAGATCAAGGCGGAGTCGCAAAGTCGCATCGACTCGCTCGAGCAGGCGCTCGAAGATACCAAGTCTCTACATGAAGCACGCAGTCAGAAAGCGCAAGAGGAGCTTGCAGAGGAGCGCGAGAGGGCGGCTAATGAGCAGCAAAGCACCGCAGAACGGCACGCGAAACGGGTACAACAGCTCGAGAGCGAGCAAGATGCTACTCGGGCAGAATTGCAGAGCGCAAAGTCCGAGCACGATGCCTTGCGCAAGGAGCATCAGGATGAAGCGTCGGCCCATGCGAGCGCCAAGACGAGAGTGGCAGAGCTGATTGCTGGACTGGCCGCTGTGAGCAAGGAGAGAGACGGCCATGCTTCGGACCTGCAAGAAGCGCGTTCGAGCGCGGACGATTTGCGAAGGCGCACCGAGAGCCTCGAGAGCGACTTGGCTTTGCACCGAGATCGGCTGCGCGGATCCGAGAGACAGGTGGCGGACTTGCAAACGCGCTTCGACGATGAGAGGCGGGCGCGAGAGGGGAGCGAGGAGGAGCTTCGTCGTGCGTCGGAGCGCGCTACGCAGCTGGATGGCAAGGTCGAAGCAGCTTCTCAGGAGCTGCAGCGCGCCAAATCGATCTCGCAGGATCTCGAAGCGGAGAATGCGCGTGGCGCGCAAGCTCGCGCTGATCTGCAAAAGGACCTCGAGCAAGTGCGAGCTGGCGCGACGACGCTGCGAGCTTCGCTCGACGAACGCACGACGGAGCGCGATGAAGCTGCTCGTGGACTCGCTTCTGCCGAGGAGCGCGCCAGCGAGCTCGAAAAGGATGTTGCGCGGCTCGAGAAGGATCTCGACGGCTCACGAGACGAAAAGACGACGATCAAGGCGGCACTGGACGATGCGCTGGAAAGCGGCAGGGAGTTGTCCGAAGAGCTAGAAGGTGTCAAAAAGACGCTAGAGGAGCGCCAAGATCGCATACAGGGCCTGGATAGCGAGCGAAAGCGCCTCACCGACGAGCTGGAAGAGGAACGCGGCAAGCATGCCGAGGTGCAGACGAAGCATGTCCGGTTGACAGAGGCTCATGCGCAAGTCACGACGAAGCATGCGGAGGAGGTGGAGCGGGTCAAGGATCTGGACACGCGATTAATCTCTACGCGCTCGGATCTAGAGGCCGAGGTGCAAGCTGCGAATCGGCTTCGAAAGGAGCACGAGGAGGAACGTGATGGACATGCGCAGACGAGATCAGCTCGCGATTCGCTTCGAAGGGACCTTCAGACTGCGCAACAGGATATTCACGGACATCTAGAGCAGCGGGAAGAGATGCTCAAAAAGCTCGCCTCGACAGAGACGAACCTCGAAGAGGCGCGCGAGGAGCTAAAGAAGACGCAGGAAGCGCGGGAGAGTGCGCAGGCAGACGTGCGAAAACGGGACGAGCGCTTGCAAAGCTTGCAAAAGGAGATTGAAAAGGAGCAGCAGCGATACGAAGATCTTGCAAAGGCTCTGACTAATGAGCGAGCGAGCGGTGCTGCACTGCGCGCGTCTCTCGAAGAGAGCAAGGCAGAGGCCGTGCAGCTCACCGAACGCGTTGCTCAGCAGGAGAGCCGCGCGCAGTCTGCAGAGACGCAGCTCGAGATGTTGCGATCGGAGAAGACAACCTTGCAGTCGGCCATCGATGCTCTCAAAGCTGGCGCAGAAGCGCTCGAGTCCGACAAGGCAAAGCTGCAGCAGCACTTGTCGGCCGAGCGCGAGCGAGCGGAAAGCGTCGAAGAGCAGATCAAAGATCGCTCGGAGCAAGTCTCGCAAGCCCACGAACGCATCGGGACGCTGCAAGGCGAAATCGAAGAGGCTCGATCCGAGCTCGCTGCGTCCGCTACCAAGATCGAGTCGCTGGAAAAGAGCGCGGCAAAGGATAGGCGCGCTCTGACCGAGGCCAAAAGCACTGGTCGAGCGCATTCGAAGCGCGCTGATGAAGCGTCAGAGTCGCTCGAAAAGGTTCGCGCAGAGGTGGAGCAGCGCAATGCGACCTTGGCTGAGCGGGACCAGTCGCTCGGGGTTGCTGAAGCGCAAAGAGCGGAGCTGGGCGACGCGTTGCAAGCTTTGCGAAAGAGTGCGAGCGAGGAGCAAGCGGCTGCACAGGCACGAGATGCTGAAGCGGAGCGACGAATGAACAGCTTGCAAGAGGAGATCAAGCGTGGCCAAGCGTCTCGCACGGAGCTGAGCGCCAAGATCGACGAGCTCGAGGCGAGCGAGAGGATGTTGAAGGAGCAAGCGGCGCGAGAACGGAAAGCACGCGACGATTTGCAGAGAAAGGTGGATGATCTGACTTGGAGATTGGACGATGAGCAGGAACAGCATGCGGGGGTGCGCAGCGCGCACGAAGGCTTGACTGCCGATCTTCAGACTGGGCGGGAGAAGTGCAGTGAGCTCGAGGGTGAGTTGAGCGCCGCCAAGTCAGCCCATGACGAGACGCATCGCGCCTTGAGCGAACTGCAAGGCTCCCATGCGAAGCTTGCCGACGAGCATGCAGAGCTGAACGATCAGCACAGGCATGCCAAGGAGGAGGCGGGAGCGGCTTCTGTGGCGGCTGCTACTTCGCTCGCTGCAGTCAAGCAAGAGCTCCAATCTGCTACATCTGCAAGGGACTCGACGGCGAACGAACTTGCAGAGAGCCGTGCGAAAGTGAAGGCGCTGCAAGAGACGGTCACTGAAAGCGCGAAGGAGGCGGAGAAGCTGCAGTCTGAGCTGGACGCTGCGCGAGCGAATGCTGAGAACGACATAGCAGCAGTGAGGAGCAAGCTTGCAGAAGCTGAGCAGCATCTCGGACGCACAGAGAGCCAGGCTCGAGAAGCTGCTTCGGCTGCTGCTTCGATGCTCGAAGATGTCAGGAAGAAGGGAACTGCGGAGCTTGATGAGCTCCGTACCGCCTCTGCGCGAGAGGCCGAACAAGCCGCTGCAACTCTGGCAACAGCCACGTCGGAGTCGGAAGCGAAGCTGCAAGCGGCCCAGGCAGAAGCTCGATCCGCCACTGCAACGCTGGAATCTCAACTTCAAGATGGGGAACGCGCGCGAGGTGCTTTGCGAGGCGAGCTGGAGAGCGCACAAATATCGGCAAGTGATTCTGCGAGCGCTCTAGAGAAGGCTCGAAGCGAGCTCGAAGAGGCGCAAAAAGCTCATGCGGATGAGCTAGCAAGATTGCAAGCAAAAGGGCGAGCGGAGCACGAGGCGTCGGAAGAAGCGGCCGAAACGGCGCGCAACAAGGCTCAAGCGGAAGCGTCTGACCTTCGCGCAAAGCACGCAAAGAGCATGGAGGAAGCGCAGCGCGATGTGCAGGAAGCTAGGGATGCTAGGGATGATGCCGAATCCAAATTCGTCGAATTGAGGAAGCGAGCGGAGGAGAGCAGAAAGAGTGCGGATGCAGGGGCTGAGAGGCTTCGAGGGGAGTTGGAAAGAATCGCGAGCGCAGCGCATGCCGACAAGGAGAACAGTGCAGCCGAAATTGCTCAGCTTCGCAAAGAGCGCGAGCGATCCGTCGTGGATGCTACAGAGGCGCTTCAAGAGGAGATGGCGGCGCTGAGACGCAAGCTCGACGAGGCCAATAGCGCTCGCGAGATTGCAGAGCGACAGCGAGCGGAGCTGGAGGTCAAATTGCGGGACGCTGCATCGAACGCTCTGCGCGAACCGGACAATGTGACGACCTTTTCGGCGGATCACGTAGAGACGTTGGAGCATGCGCATTCCATGGCATCATCGACGCTTCGATCTCAAGTCCGAACGTTGGAAGGTAGAGTGTTCGAGGAGACGGATCGGGCGAATCGAGCTCTGAGAAGAGTGCAAGAGCTTCAAGAAGGTCTTTTGGCTGCTGGACTAGAAGCTCCTCCGCCCGTCGCTTCCACGCTCAGAAGTCCTCCTGCTCCACCGCCAGCTCTTGCGATGGAGGAACGAGCAAGGTCTCCGATGCAGACGCGTCTAGCACAGTCCAAGGAGGACAGCAGCAGCGGCGGCGGCAGCAAGCCGTCCAATGGACTCTCGCCCGAGATGGAGAAGAAGAAGCAGCAGCTCAAGACGCAGCAGCGCGATTTGCCCATCACTAGCGTTCCGCTGCCCATGCCAACGATGGCAGTCATTGCCGCGCCAATCGATGAAGAGGAAGAAGAAAGGCAGGACGAGCACAATGCGTCGCTGACGAGCAGCAGCAGCAACTCGACGAAGAGGGCGCACAGAAGAGCAGCGACTGCAGCTGTACTACCTTCCGCCTCTTCCCTCGCATCTAACAACAACCCCTTACCAACCTCCTCCTCCTCCTCAACCGCCACCACCGCAGCAGAGGAAAGGAGCATCTCGGAAGCGAGAAGAAAGCAGCTGCTCAAGCTTTCTAGCGCTGCTAGGAAAAAGAGAGAGAGCGAAGCGGCTCAAAAGTGAAAAAAAGAAAAAGTGGGCTTTGGGGACAGTCGAGCGCGGGACGAGTGGAGTGAGCATGCTGGGGAATGAAGATCTGACTAATCGAGAGGAGGCTGGCTCATTGCTGCGAGTTGTAGATGAAAAGTCTTTTCGATTAATTGTACAAGTACAAGCGAGCGCGAGCAGATTCCTGATCGTGCGAATGCCTGTAGGAATTGTGGGACCCCCCCCCCTCCAACTCCTCCTCGTCACCTCTCGTCCAGAGGATTAGCTCTGATCTTCATAAACGTGTCGCATCCATAACCGTACATGCTGACGAGGTCCAAGCTACCTCTTCCATGCTGGGCATAAATGCTGGTGTGAGGGTTGCGCGATGCCGTTAGCCTCGTGGCGAGATCAAGTCTCGCAGCAGTAGCACAGATTCCGGTGCCGCAAGAAAGACAAGCAGGGCAGGCGCACTCACCGACTCATGGGCAAGCCGTAGCCCAAACCCGCCAACGTGCCCATCCCTCCTCCTACGCCCGCTCCCGCTGCGCCCATCTGGCTCAGCACGTCCACACCCACCGCGCTGGTATTTTGCAGCTCCGAAGGGTGCGCCATCCCACCACCGTCTGCCAATGCGGACATTTCCTGCTCCTCTTCCGAAGGCGAAGAGGCAGTCGTAAAGGTGTATTCGAAAATCTTGGAAAAGTGCGCTGGAGATGGGGATGGATGGGGGGAAGGGGGGGGGATGTGCGCGTGTGAGCCGCGGTGTGAAAAAGAAGATGGAGCCACGAAATACGCACCGGGAGGAACACCGCCGCCCTCGTCCCTGATGCGCATGGTCAGGTGCTTGCGACTTCGAGCGACGGTGATCTTGACGCTAGGCATGGGGCCCAGTGCCGCTTCTCCGCCTCTTCGGATGTACCTCTCCGCCGTAGCTCTGTAGGAATTCTTCAGCAGCTCCGTCATCGTGTACGTCTGTGGGAATGAGCAATCTCTGTGCGTGGTCAGCAGGAAGCAAACGAAGAAAAGGGGGCAAAGGGGGCGCCCGACGCAGCCCAAGATGCGACCTTCTTGCTCTCGCTCACCAGATGACTAGCAACGCCGCAAAACGTGCTGCCCAAATCCCCCTCCAATTTGAGTTCTGGCGCGCAGCCTAGACTCGTCTCGCAAAGCGCGTGCACGAAATCCGCACATCCTTGTATGAGATCGGCAGCGTTGAGCGAAGTGTCGATGATGCCTACGGATGTAGCGCTCGCAGCTCCCTGCGTGTGCGAAGAGGTCAGTGCGAGGTGTTGTTCGGCGATCAGACGAATGCCTGTCTCTCGGAGCGCGCGGTGAGGTGCGAGGTTGCCAGCGAAGCGAGAAGGATCGGCACGCGTCAGCACCGAGCACCGGTACGATGGAGCACGACAGGACTCTTTTCCGCTCGACTCGACTCGCCTATTCGACTGTGAATCGCCCCATCCAGGAATGCGGAAATGGCAGAGGCAGACATGTACCGCTTGCTCTCCAAGAAGCCTGCGGCGGTGGCGGTGAGGTGTGAAGGGCGGATGGTGGATGGACAATTCAGCAAGGCGCGCGGTGTGAGGTGATGACAAGAAGCGCATCCTACGCCTTTGCGGCTGCACTGCTGCTCTCACCCCTTGCAAGCGTAGGAATATTCTCCCGATGATCCTCCACCATTCTCTCCAGCTCGCGCGTGAAATCTTCGTTGGCATCGGCATCCATGACGGTCCTCAGACTGGCAATCTTCATAAAACTAGCAGCGTAGAGTCTGGCCACTTTTTGAATGTGAGGATTGGAACCGACGATGAAGGGAAGGTTGCGAAAAGCCAATACTCGACGAGCGAGGCGCAGGGGCAATTCGGTCGCGGTGAAGCGGGCGCTGGAGAGGAGATGGGTGGAGGAGGGACGCGAGCCGGGAGAACCGCCGAGGGAGAGGAGAGAGCGCAGGGTGAGAGAGGTGGGAGAGTGGGAGAGGTAGCGGTCTAGCAGGTGCGAATCTGCTCCAAAGGTCGAGAGCGTAGAGATGGGCGGAGCGGGAAATGCGCTCGAATTGCTGAAATTGGCGTTGGGGGTGCTGCTGCTGGTGGAGGAGGAGGATGAGGAGGTGGTGCTGGGCGTGGAAAAGGGCTCGGGGGGTGGGTAGTAGGAGAGATGACGATGCGCGGCGGCGGTGCGATGAGGTGATGCCGTGGTGCCACTGCCACTGCCACTGCCACTGCCACTGCCACTCGCACCCACCGACCAAACTCGACTGCACAGTTCCGCCCCTGCGCTGTGAATATTGCGCCTCCCTGCCATTGTACCGCAATACTCTACAAGTCGTTGATGTGTATGGTGGTGGTGGTGCTGAGTACAACGATGGAACTGCAGCTCGACAGTTGTTGAAGTGAATGGAAGCAAGCACGCATAGCGCGTACCGCACGCCAGCATGGCGCGTGCACCCCTTACTGCGCGCGCGCGCGCGCTCGCTCGACGACGACCGTCAAATCGAATACTCCGTGCAGAAATTCAAATTTCGCGTCAAGGCGTACGCGTGGCGCCTCTCGCGAAATTCACTTTTTCGTCACCGCGAATCGCTTCATCGTCATCGTCGGTCGCGCATCCATTACAGCGAAGCGCCTCTGTGCTGAGAATTATCGATGACGCAATTTTGCCATTGCGCTTGATCGATTCGCCTTTCGCTTTCCTTGCGCTGGCTATCACTTTTACGAGGAGGAGTGTGGACAACGCACGCAGGGAGGTCAATGTGTCATCGACGATGCAATGCGGTGCAGCGAGGAGGTGGAGATTGACGGTGTCAGTGTGTACAGGAGTGCAAAGCATGCTTCAAGAGATGCGATCAAGCACGATAGTCTGTGGTGATGAGCTGAGCGGTGCAGATCACCGCTTGATACTTGGTTCCAGATTGTGAGCGTGATCGTCGTGGTGATGAGCGATGCGCATCGGCCAGAAATAGCTGGCTCGCATGCTGGCGGCACGACATTCATCGTAGCCCTCAGCTGCACCGTACATCGTCCGACTTACGCCTCCAGGGCAGGATCCAATGCTTGCACGTCCTCGTTCGTCTGCGCATCCTGCTCTTCCTCGTAGCCTGACATGTGCACCTCCACAGGTCCCGACGATTCCAGCGTCGTATCCGCGCCCGCCTCCGATTCGTGCGCCATCATCTCCAACGCAGTCTGTAGCATATGCCCATCATCTGCCTCTTCCCGTAGTGCATCTTGTGCTGCCCCTGCTCGCTCTTGTCCCTGCTCCTGCTCCTGTTCAGCCTGCAGAGCGTGCGCAGCCAAAAACGCGATAGCTTCAGCCTCTTCCCTCGCCTCTTGCTCCCTCATCCCTTCCTGCTCATCGTAATCCTCCCCTTCTGCTCCTCGCTGCTCCTGCTGCACAAAACCAGCTTGCGCCTCATCGTCACGAGGCGCGGTCGAAGGCTGGGATTGAAGAGCTTGAGCAGCCAAAAATGCGATGGCTTCCGTCGCTTGATTTTGATTCGTCGCATCTTGTCCTCCTGGCGCGTGGTCCACTTGCTCCGCGCCCTGCTCGACTGGCAAGCTCTCCAAAGCAGCTTGACCGGCGCTTGTACCTTTGACACCGCCAGCGCTGGCGCTCCCAACCGCCAACGGCCTCTGCATCGTCTCAAAAGGCAGATGATTGTGATCCGCACAATTGACGGACAATTTCCACGTCGCGTTCTCCTTCTCTGCATCTCTGAGCTGCACTTTGGCTCTAAAAGGGCAGCTCATCCTCTCGATCGTCCGATTGCGCCTTCTAGTCTCTTCCGTCACCCCATGCCTATTCTTGTACACGCCAGACTTTTTGCATTCCAGATAGACGAATGGAGATTTGCGCCATTCTTCCAGATAAGAGGAGCGTTTGCGGACGTTGAAACCGGCGGCTTTGGACCAGACGTGAAGCGCCGCAATACCGCTGGATGCGTCTGGAAAGAGATCGGATTGCGTCGCGGGCCAGGGAGAGCTGAACAGGATTTCGGTCGGCGCAGGCGGGCGATTGCTGGGATCGGCTCCAGCTGCAGCCTTGCTCTTGCCCTTGCCTCTTGACTTCACCGACTTTTTTTGATTGGACGTGCTCGCTGCATCTTGTGTTCCCTCCTCTGCACCCGTCTTGTCCTCCTTGGCACCAAATTCTACCGTCGTGGCTGCCCCGCTTTTATCCACCTCGTCAGCAAGCGTCGCATCAGCCAAAGGCGGCTCCAATTCGCCCAGCTTCGCTTCCTTTCGCTCCTCCACAGGCAACCTGCTCGGTCCAGGCTCGGAAGCCGTCAGCCAAGGCTGAGTCTGAGCATCTTCCTTGACCGCTTCATGCTCAGCTTTCGCAGCTTCATCCATCGCCGCCTCGTGGTTGGTGAGCCCAGTGTCGCGCTTGGTCTCCGCTTTGCGTCTCTTCCTTTGCTGCTTTACACTTGCAGCGGCATCCTGTTCGTCTGGGCCTCTTTTGCCCACATTGGCCGTAGATTCAGCCGCCTGTGCTGGGGTGTCCGAGACTGACAAATCTGTGGTGCTGCTGGTCGGCAAAGGCACCGAGTGACCAATCGCTGAAGAAGGGCCCGCTTCGTCCGACATCTTCGCAACAAGACCTATGCCGCCACCTCACTCAACTTAAAACTCGAGTATGTGGCCTCTGTGCAGCATTCGTGAGCGCAGCCGTCGTCCAGTGCTTCTATTACGATTCGCTCTTCCCTCGTCCAAGCGCCCGCCACTGCCACAACACGTCCACCAGCCTTACCCACGTCCAACTCCCGACCTGTCCCTGTTCGCCGAACGCGGTGCGGCGACCAGCGCAGAAGAGGTCGCGCTCGCTGATCTGTTGATAGTCGAGAGTAGGATGAAGATATGAGAGAAGGGTAGCAATTCTAAGGAGCGAAGAAGATGCAGCGGTGGAGAGGAGTGGGATGCGAACACCTTTGAGTGGAATGCGCGAATCGTGGATGAGGGAAAGAGCGTGACGCGTAAAGCGAGCGGCGAGATCTTTGACTTGAAATTTGCGCCCGCCTCATCGCACGCGGTGGTGCAATTTGCGGGGTGCATGCGATGGCAATGCGTGCATTGCATGGCGCCTCCAACACTTTTGGTGCGCACTCAGCTAAAGCCCTGATCAAGGTGCCTCCAAAAAAAAGTCTGGCAAGCCCAAGCTAAGGTCAAAACATTGCTGGTCTCATCACTGCGTGCAGAGCACACTGCGTGTTGGTCTCCCTTACCAACAGCATAGCAATAGGCCGCCCTACACCTGGCCCCTCCTTCCTTGCTGTCACAGCTCTTTGACAAACACAGAGGCACGGGCTTAGCCAGCTACTTCACCAAGTGACTTCCCCAATCTCTCTTTGTCTTTGAACAATCCATCTGACAAAGCCTGCTGCTGAGCACCCACTACAACGACCAGCATCCCCACCATGCCAGTGCTGTGTGACAGATGATGGCGTCGCTGCCGGGGAGTTCTTCTCTTTTGCTGAAAAGAGAGCCCAGATCTGCTGGACAAGCAGAGTGGATTGCTGCAGCAAAGCCCCAAACAATGGCTTCATTGCTGTCAGGCTGAGGCTTGCCATTTGCTGCTTTGCAACCTTGACCTTGCTCATAGCTTGTGTGGCCCTACTCATTCACAACAAGCAAAGGTCATAACAAACACCATAGCATTTGTCACACATTCCACAGGGATGACAACTTTTCAATTGAGAGTCTGAAGCAGAGGGAGAAGTCACACTGTCTCATGGACGCTGATTAAGGATCAAAGAGGTCATGTCAGTTATGCGTGATTGCCAGACGATGACAATCGCTTTGCCCAATGTAATTTGACGATGGAGTGGTACTACTTACCTGAAACGTTGCGTAGGACTTCACACCGCGCAGCTTGCTGCTGGGAATGCGCAATGTTGAGATGGGCAGGCGCGAGGGGCTAGTGGTGAGATACCTTTGGTGGAGAAGGTGCTCCAGAAGGGCCAGCAGAGGACCCGGGGTCCTGTGTAGCGGGCATGCCCGACGGCTTGTATTCAGGAATCGGGCGAGGCTGTGTCGGAATGTGGAGCAAGCAGGTCATGTTAGCCACGATACTTTCAACGTTGAAGGCAACACCAATGGCGAAGCAATCAATTGATGATGCCAAGGGTAACACGTCGATTTGATTTTTGACAGGGAGTAACCTCTATGTGGGCGACGACAGCCACAAAGCAGCCACTTCTCGAGCAATCCTCACAAGCTTAGATGGTGAAAGCGCAGGTTGCTTTGCTTTCATTACCTCCCAGATTTGCCTGGCAAGCAAGGTTGACTGTTCGGGCAAAGCGCTAAAGAATGGCTCCATCGCCGTGAGGCCCAGGCTGGCCATACGCGCCCTAGCAACCTCGATCTCACTCATTGTGGACACCACTGGCTGTGATGCCCACTCATTTGAGTGGTTGAGCTCGTTGAGCTTGTCGAGTGAGGGTGGGATCTGTGACATTTTGGAGGAAGCTGCGTCGGGGTGCGATTTGGGATGAGTGGAGCAAGGCAGGATGGGATGAGTGCGCTTGTGACTTAAGTAGTGCTCGCGAAAGGACTACGATGAGCGAATCAAGAGATTTAGCTGCCAGCCAAGCCCATGCGGCATGACTAGTAGCAAGCCTTTTGCCACAGGGATGATGATTGTCCTATTTGGAGTCCAAAGGAGAGGGAGAAAGTACACTGGCTCATGGATGCTGATAAAGGATCAAAGAGGTCATGTCAGACATTGGCAGACTACAACAATCACTTCGAGGTAATTGGACGATGGAGTGGTACTTACCTGAAGAGCCGCATACGATCTCATCCCGCGCAGCTTGCTGCCAGGCACGCGCAACGACGATACCGGCAGGCGCAAAGGGCTTGTGGTTGGCAAGGTCTGCAAAGCAGGTGCGGCAGATGGTGGTCCAGACCCAGAGCCTTCGGCGACCGGCATGCCTGAGGGCTGGAACGATGGGACACGACGAGGCTGCATTGGGGATGTGGAGCAAGCAGATCAGGGTCAGCCTTGTTGACGAAGGTGGTATCAATGGTGAAGGCAGCATCAATGGGAAAGCGAACAAGTGATGGTGAATGCCGAGGGAGACGACATCGATTTGTTTCAAGAGAGAGGGGGCGACCTCTTTGCGGACAACAACAGCCACAGAATCAGAGCAGCCACTTCTTGAGCAATACTCACAACCTTTGAAGGTGTCGCAGGAGATGTCTTCTTGGCCTGGTGCAGAGCCCAAATCTGCTGGGCAAGCAGGGTTGACTGTTGCAGGGAAGCCCCAAAAAATGGCTCCATGGCCGTCAGGCCAAGGCTGGCCATCCTCTGCTTGGCGACTTCGACCTCGCTCGTGGTGGGCATCACTGGCTGTGAAGCCCACTCATTTGAGAGGTTGAAGTCGGTTTGCGCTTTGTAGGGAATTGGCACCTGCAACATGTTGAAGAAGTGTTCAGTGAGGGGACAAATTTGTGATGAGTGGGGGGAAGGCAGCATTGATGGGAAAGCAAACAAGTGCCGGTGAATGTCGACGGAGACAACATCAATCCGATTGGATTTGAGAGACAGAGCAATCTCTTTGCAGGCAAGGAAAGCTCTCAAATACCAGAACAGCCACTACTCTAGCAGTACTCACAAGCTTTGAAGGCGTCTCTGGCGACTTTTTCTCTTTGCCTTGGCAAAGATTCCAGATCTGATCCGCCAACAAACTTGCCTGCTGTGGCAAAGTCTCGAAGAATGGTAGCATGGCTGTTAGGCCGAGACTGCTCATTCTTTCTTTGGCCATGCGGAGCTCTGTGCTGCTTGTGGTTGAGCTGACCTGACCTGCCCACTCATTGGACAGGTCAAAGTCGGGTGACTCATGTGAAGGGATTGGCAATTGAGACATTTTGCGAGGTTGGGTCAGGAGAGGTTTGTGATGAGTGGGGGGAAGGCAGCATTGATGAGCGCACTTGTGACTTAAGGGGTCTGAAGGGTGTCCGCATTCCAGTGAAGCAGTTGTACGTGCTTTGCTTGTGGATTGAGCTAGGTACAGCAGCACTTGGACTGGAGCGCCCCCCCCCCCCCCCCCTCCTTTGCTCAGAAAAGAATTTCGACACTTTTGCTGAACAGCATCCCAAAGCTCTCAGCACCCCTCCCAAAGCTCACGTACCCCACCCAAGTCAACCTTTGCTCAACATGTCTCTTTGTTGTCGTAACTTGTTCCCCAATCTGGGGGCTTGATACTGCAAGATGGAGAATTGTGGCCAAGTCGAGTCACTCCGCCGCACAGTGGACAACTTCAAAGTCGAATTTTTACGGTGAAGTCACCTCGCTCAATCGCAAAGTGAGCGAGGAGAGCATCGCCAGATTGGAAGCAGCAACGCAGGCCAACAAAGGTTTGCTACAGCTCAAAGGGGACTTCATCGTCCACAAAAGCACGGTCAGCAATGACCAAATCTCTCTCGAGGACCGCATTCAGGTTCTCGAGTCTGAGAAAAAGGACTTGATGACCCAGAATCAGGTCAAGAAGTTGATCAAGACCCCCTTGGCTCAGCACAAGGCTGACGCTCAGACCGCCTTGGCTCAGCACAAGGCTGACGCTCAAATCAAGCGTCAAGAGCTGGAGAAGAAGGTAGAGGTGCTGGCATCGGAGAACAAGCACCTGAAGCTCATTGCCAGATGGAGCAAGTATTTCTTGCTTGCTGTTGTAGCAGTGGCACTTGTTGTCACTCTATGGCACTTTGCTGGAGACGGGTTCACCGAGTGGACCCGTCATCCAAACAAGGTTCCAGAATGGCTGGTCGACTATCTTGAGCTCCAACCAACTGTCACCATGGAAATTCATCATCCTCTCCATTGGCTAGACAAAGTCAAGCTCAGCGCCTCGAACTTGATCAAGAATCCCTTCTCTCCACCACCTCTAAAGGATTTGCCACTCCCTCCGACGCCCATCAAGTTCACGGATGTCCTAGGTGACCTTTGGGGCAAATTCTGGCATGCAGTGCTCACCGCCTGCGGGTCAAAGGACTGGATCTGCGGACCAAAAGACTGGATCTGCGGATCAACGAGACCGACTTCTTGGCAGAGCACCCAGATCAGTCACTCTCTGGGAATTGGAAGGGTACAGGGTTGCAGGAAATCATTGTGTTGCTCTCTGCCCCTGCTGCTTGCAATCTCTAAGCAGTTGACTGTGTCTGACTGAGGCTCAATACAAGCTGTAAGAGTCAACATGATGTGTCAAGGTGCAGAAGCATCCTTGGTGGCATTGATCACATTTCCCTTGACAACTACATTGTACCTGGCTGGTGTAGCTGTACATACACTACCCTGATAGCGTTCCAGAGACCCATGCTCCCTTCAGGCGGCTTGACAAGGTGAAGCTTGCTTCCAATGAAGTCATGGGAGATCATCACTGTGCATGGCGCCGTGAGCTTGTCTTGGCTCCTATCAAAGAAGTGCACAAGTTGTTCTTGTCCCAACCTGGGTGCCAAGCTGACAGGGTTGGCCTGGGAGCTGCGCAAAGCAACCAAAGTGTAGCAATTTGCATTTGCGGACAAGAAGAGGTTGCTCATTGATGCCGCTCATCGTTGCGCGAGAAGGGCTCTAGCGGTGAGCGGCGCGCTAGCGAAGGTCTGCCAAATCTGCCAGAAGAGGGGGATTAACGTCGAGAATGATGCCAGTGTGGCAACTTTGCGACGGAGGAAATGAGGATTGCAAACGTGAATGAAGAAGTGGCAGGAGATGTTTTCAGCAGGAAGCAAGGAAGGGGGCAAATCAGCATTGGGGGGGGGGGGGGGGGGGGGGGCTTAGTGGAATGAATGCACAAGAGAGAGGAAAGTAGTAAGCAGACACGTCATTGCTACCCTCATCTGGAGCATGCCGCAAGCGAATTGGCAACTTTTGGCCTTCCACAGAGCAGGTGTCCGCAGAGTGAAAGCAACACTAGCCTTGTGAGTGGCCTTCTTGAGAAGCGACACAGTATTCTTGGAGAGGCTTCAGATACAGTGCATCGTCACAGCACTTGTCTGCTGCTTTGATGCGCCCAAGCAAAGCTGTTGACATTATCCGTCTTGATTGCGTGAATGGTGTCCGCGTTCATCTTGTTGTAGTCGATCAGACCGTTGTCTAGCTGCGCAACACTGGCTTTCACCCAGTGAGCATTGCGACCTTGCAGCTCTTGCGAGGCTCAAATGAGCGTCCTCTTGGGTGGGCAATCTCGAAGGTCCTGCTACCTCTTGTCCTGACAACCAGTGCAACACGGTCTGGCAACAGCAAAGTTGGCAAACAAGGTTGGGGCAAATGAATCACTCTTCCAGGGTTTGAGTCTGTATGTATGGAGTCAGACGTCGATAGCGGTAAGGTCTTGACCCCTGAGATTTCAAGAGCGTATGCATTGTCATTCCGCCAAAGTCCGTCATGACTGATGAGCTGTGGCAACACCAGCCCGTAAAATGCGCTAGCGTGCCCACATGAAGAAGTCGAAGCGAATGGGATGGCAAGTATCTTCTCTGCAAATGAGTCGGGCTGGGCGAAGCAATGCTCGACATGCGCACGTGCGACCAACGGGCGTATCCTAACCGTGCAAATCACAAAGCAAAAGGATCTCAGGCAGCAGCGCGCTGTAGGCATCAATGCTGGCTTGAAGAACGATTGTCGTCGGACATGAGAGTTGCGAACGGCATGTGCCATCTCGAAGCGTACTTCTCATGTCTAGTCTCTTACGACTTGTCTTCCTGGAGGCTCCTGATACTGCTCGATCATTCCAACTTCGCCGCCGACTTCAACAATACGGGAGCAAGTAGCCACATCTTGCAATTGTTGCTCAGCCAACGAGAATCGGATTTGACCAGGTGCCATCAGCCACTCGACGTTCTTGCGCAAGAGTCAGAGTGCTGCCAGCATCGAGCAAGCGTCTCGTCATGACTGTGGCGCGTTTCGGATCGTTCTTGTCAGACGATTTCCACGCAAGCTGGACCCTCGCCGTTTTCAACGCTCTGCTAGCTCATAAGCGTCCACGACTTACCATGCAGTGTATTTCTTGCTCGCACTTCTGTCCCCGCCCCGCCCCAAGGAGAGACACCCGCCCTCCGCCCCCGGCCGTCATTCGGGCCGTCATTCAAACAGACGACCTTACGTAGGACCCGCTCGGACGAATTGCGCTGCTACGCCATGAAGGCTCTCTCCGCTTTTGAACGAGCCAGGCAACTTTCCTCAATCAGATGACAATGTCGGAGCAGCGGTCGATCGCATCCTATTGGCGGTCGGTCCTTCGTGCATACGATGACTTTGGCTTTTCCAAACGCAACGACGTGCAGCGTCCGTAAGAGCAGGAGTCCAAAGTCTGCTGTGGAGTGCAACGCTTATGAATTCTGCCGTAGAGTTACCAAGCAGAGCGGGCGGCTGATGATGTCCCGTCAAGAGCTGAAACCAAGGAAACCTTGAGCCTGTGCAGCGGACATCTTCGGAGTGAGCCTGCCTGTTCCCGCCCCAGCGAGAATGACGTGTGTCGTGACGGACAACCACGAGCGCAGAGCGCACACTGCTCAATACCGTCCAGCAAGCTGTATGGCACCCTTGCATCCCAAGCTGACTATCGCACTGAGTAAAGCGTGCGCTGGCGCTTGTTGCGCCTCGTGCTCTACTGCAGTGTCGAGATGCTCCAATTCGTCGTCTCGAAATTCTTCGATGACAGACCTCAACAATGTCAAGGCAGGATCACTGTCTTGCGGTCTTGCATCCTCGAGGGTCTCCGGCTGCTCGGTCAGCGCTGCCAGATGATCCAATTGGCTGCAAAGGGAGAGTCTGGTGTGAATGTCACGTTTGGACGAAAGCTGGCCAGTAGCGAGACATGCGGGGATGCGTGCAATGCACCGCTCGACTTACTCGTCATAATGCTCCCCAATCACCGTCTCGACCGCCTCGGTACACGCCATGGCCGCTTCCTTGCCCAAGAGCGCCGTGACTGCACCCAAAAGGCTTCCAGCAGCGCTCCAGACCGGTAGCAACTTGGAAGGCGTTACGCGATGCTGACGCAGCAGCTGCAGCACGACTCTCAGATGCTTCTTTTCAGTAGACCACATTTCCTGTGCAGGTGCAGACCGAACGAGATCGGCGTGAGGTGGCAATGAAGGACGATGCGCGGGTGGGTGCTGACTCGCCACTCGTGCACACCGAGGTGCGCGACTGTGCTGACAGCCTGACTGGGACATCCGACTCACCAGCATCAAATTCTCCGTCTTGCGATCACCTAAGCGCCTAAACACATCCGCCTGAGCTTCGTAGATGGTGTTGGCAGCCACTTCTCCCGCATGATCGACACGCAGCATCTGAGATAACAGCGATCGATCTGCGGCGCTGAGCGTGGGCGTAGAGTTGGTGCCTGGGCCTCGCTGTGGCGTTGCTGGGCTCAAATCACAGCTTACGTGAGAAGCGTGGCTAGCCGCACCCGCACTTGCACTTGGACCCGCACCTGCGTCCGAATAAGCTGCTGATGCCAGCTTCGAGGTGCGCCTAACGAGTCGGGGCGATTCCCGCGTGGCGTGTCTGAACGATGGTCCGGCGATGGATGCAGCGAGCATGCTGGAGACTTGCGTGGGGTGCTGTGTCAGTGGAGTCGGTCGCTGGATGAAGTGCGAGTGTGGGTATTGCAAGTCGATGGATCGAGTGCCTGGTGCCTTGCGTGTTGGCGATGCGACGAGTGCTGTGGTTGTGCAACAGCTCGAGCTGTAATGAGCACACTTGTGTTGGCAGCTGTAGGTGCGCTAGGTGACGGTGCTGTGAGCGTGAGGATTGCACATGAAGATGAAAGCTGTCGATCTAGCCTTGCGGATGAGGAGACAAGGATGAAAGGAGACTTCGACTTTCCATTCAATTGATGGTGCTCGCTCACTCGTGACTCTTGACTCAGCAAGCATGCCTGGCAAGGCTCCACCGCGCATCCTCTTCTATCCGCACCGGTCAGCTTGAATCACGTGGGTCGGTGACCAAGCTGCGAGCTGCCTTCATCAAATCTCCGAGCACAAGCGCGCGCGCGCCTTTGATCCTCGGCACAACCAAATTCATGCGTGCAAGCCATCACACGTCGCGCGGGGATATATGCAGCATGCAACACTCAGCAGACTCATGTGACTCAAATTGTAAGCGTGAATCTTGCCGATGATCAAGAAATTCGCATCTTCGTTGCCCGCAGCCGAGTCATCAGGCTGCCCTGCACCTGCATGTGCTGCTACTTGCTCACCGATTACTCGCCGACCAACTCGCTCATCGCTCGTGTGAAGCTGTTCTGCTGCTGTTCTGCCACCTGCCTGCCTGCCTGTCTTGGAAGGCGCGGCACACCCACCGCGATGCCCGTCTGTTCCACCCAGACCAACATGGCTCGCACTTCTCTCTCGCACACGTCCAAGCGGCTGCGGCGATGACCCTCTTCCCCTTCACCTCCTGAACACGCGCGCTGTCAAGTCTCGATCGACGAGGCAACGCACGGAGGACTCTGCGACGCTCCTGCTCGCTCCCATCCGCACATTCCTCCCACTTTCTGGCTCACCCGGCTGGTTCATTGGCGGATTTCATTCTCAGGCACAGCCATCATCTCGAAGCTCACTTCTGCCAGCATGCCTTCCATCGAGTTGTCAAGCATGGGCGCTGCTGGTGTGAGCGAGCTAGGAGGCAGCGCGGGCCTTGTAGAGCAGGGTGCACCTCCTGAGGAGCTGCAGGATGCGCCTGGAAGAGGAGACGTGTCGACGGCCACTCTTGAGCAGCGCGCTCTCAGGCTGCCTCCAGACGGTGTGCCTCAACGCAGAAGCAGCAGCACAATGCCATCCACCACCGCGGCACGGCAGCGCCATCTCTTGACAGACGATGGCATTCTAGCACTCGAAGGTAGCAGGACGCCAGAAGTTATGTCCAGAGCACCCAGTCCTGCAACGCCCTCTGCTGCCAGCCGCAGAGGCATACTGGGTGATGGCGATGACCGCGAATTTGACGAGGAAGGCAGCGTTTCGCAAAGCGCAGGGGGACGCGTGGAAGGTCGCATGCAGAGCAGGCCAGCCGTTTTGCCAAGTCTGGTTCACGAGGTCAGTCTGGGCGTTCTCCTGGTGCGGTTGCGGGACGGTTTGTTGGTCAAGATGCTCACGTCATCGTCACATCGTACCCGCGCAGGTCATCTTTGTTCTCATTTGCGGCACTGGCCAATTGCTCTTTGGCTGGTTGCTGGGCAACGTCGTCGTGGTTCAGAGGCTGCTGGCCGTCGATCTGGGCATTCACAATTCTCAAAAACCTTGGCTGTTGGGCAGCTTCCTGCTCACCAACGGCCTCAGCGTCATCATCAGCGGAAGCCTTTCGGATCACATTGGCTCTCGCAAATTGCTGCTGGGTGGATTCGCGTGGTTATCTGCTTGGAACCTCATCAACGGGTTCGTCCTTCACAACAAGTACGCATTCTTCATTGCGCGAGCCATGCAGGGCTTCAGCAGCGGAGCTCTCACCAGCAGCTCCATCAGCCTACTGGGTCGTGAGTCGAAGACATCGCATGCTCCTGCCATCAACGTCTGACCTGCCCACGTACGCTCATCTCCCTCACCTCCTGTCGCAGAGACCTACTCGCCTGGACGGCGCAAGTCCAGAGCTTTCAGTGGCATGGCCGCCCTTGCACCTCTGGGCTATTGGCTTGGAGCCCTACACGGCGGCGTCTTGGCAGATCACCGGAGTTGGATCTTTTGGTCATTTTCAATCCTTGCCTTTGCCTTTTTGATGGTAGCATGGTGGATCGTGCCCGCCTCGACGGAGCATCCAAGTCTATCCACCTACATCAGGCCCGGTTTGAAGCATTTCGACTTCCTCGGAGCGCTACTCGCCATGATCGGTAGCGGCTGCATCGTCGCTGGCTTGACCCAAGGTAGCCCTTCCAACTGGGCATCCTACACCTACGTTCTGGTCATCGCTGGCGTAGCTACGCTGGGAGCATTTGCTCTGGCCGAGAAGCAGGCCCATCGACCTTTGCTTCCGAACAGTCTATGGAAGGTGCCCAACTTTACAGCCGTCATCATTGCCTACTTTTTGAGCTATGGCGCCTATTCAGCTTGGCAATTCTACGCCATCGACTTTTGGCTAAATTTGCAGCGAGTATCTCCTCTCACCGCCGCCTTGTACCTGACTCCGAACGCCGTCGTCGGCCTGGTGTGCACATTTCTCACCGCGAGTTTGTTGCACCTCGTGCCCGGGCACTGGGTCCTGATCGCTTCAGCGATCGCAAGCGGTGCTGGAGCCATCTTTTTCCTGCCCCAGAGCCTCGATAGCAGCTACTGGGCCTTCTCGATGCCAGGTGTTGCATTGGCAACGCTATGTCCAGATCTGAGGTGAGATCAGTCGGTCGTAATGCGCGTTTACAGCTGCTGATGCGTGCGCCTCACCTTACGCAGCTTCGCGGCCGTGGCTGTCCTTTTCACGACATCAGTCCCCAAGGCTTCGCAAGGTGCGGCCGGGTCTTTTTTGATGACTGCACAGTCGTTGTCGTCGGCAATCTTGGTAAGCCTGGCGGACACCATCGGGTCGCAGACGACTGCATCAAGACCAGAAGTCGGAATGGTTGCATCAAGTAATAGCACTCTCCCCTCTCAGGACAGCGAGCTCGACCTGCAAGCACATCGCAATATTTGGTGGTTCTCTCTAGGTGTCGCGCTGCTGGGGGCAGCTATCACTGCGACTTGTGTCCGCATACCAAAGACGCAGGAACGTGATCATGCTGAATGAAAGCGGGGAGCGCACAGTCAAGATTATTACGCAGACTTTTCATTCGATTGATCAAGCGTTCATCATATCCTAAGCACGGTACGCAGACAAGTCCACACTTCTCCATCCTCCAGGCAACATCTTTCATCCAGAGGTAGTAGTCACAATGACGATGCATTGCATCGTTGACCTAGGCGCGTCTGCTCAAAATTTCCGGGTCAAATCGAGGCGCAAAGCGCCTCCGAAGTTCGCGACGCGTCACTTCGAAATGATCGCCCTCACTTCTTGAATTTTTCTCTTTCAGGACATCCTGCTGCCGCGCGCGCGATATGGTCAAGTCAAAATCTGCGGTACTGAACAGTCCAGATGGCGCATCGCCAAAGCTGGACCAAATCTCCGCGGCAACGTCTGAGGTCGATGCGATGTCTTGTGGATGAAGGATAGGTCGCCCGCCCGTACAAGACGAAGTGTTCGTGGGCAAGACGCGTATCGAAAATAATCACCTTCGCTACCAAATCTTTCTCTGTAAGAAGTTGGGTCGTCACGAGCTCGTCAACGCTGTAGCTTCGACTTGAAAAAAGTAAAGGAGAAAGGAAGCAAAAACGTACCCAGTTTCTGGACGGTAATGCTGGGACAAGCTCAAAACTTGGAAGCATTGACGGATTTTACGACTTTTTTGACGCGTTGTTCAAAAAGTTGCACGACGAAAATTAAGCTCCGACAGAAAATGTTGCGAAAATGAGCCAGTCGATAATCGTAAAATCCCGACCCTTCGACGCGGCGCGCGTCAGGCTGCCATCATTATCAGAGTGTTCGCTACCTGGCAGGCAAAGTACGCGCAATTAATAGTCGTCACTTCTATGTAGAAAGCCGGATCGTGCACGTACATGCGCCAATCGACGTGCCGAAGCAGAAGACCTCCCTGAGTGCAAATTCACTTCGGTGCTTCTAATGGCAAGCCACAGTGTTGGTTCGATCCGCCAATGCGAGTGTCGTGTGTCTTTTTGGGATGACAGGCCGGTGCGCAACACGAGACCACGCGACAAGCCGCACCAAATTCTTCCAACAAAATCCCGTTCAAGCAGGTTGCGTGGTCCACATAATGAAAAGGCAATGCCGACCTTATCCGATGTCCGGCGGTGGTTTCGTATCGATTGGACACATTGCACGCGCTGCTCGCAGTCCAACGTGGGGATAACATTCATTTGCTCTGGCCATACCTGCATCAGATCCAGCGATTGAAATACACTCACTGTCACATGTTGAGCGCTGATGGTTGCAATTCCGGTAACGTAAGCAGCAAGGCTGATATAGCTGTGAGAGATGCCTCTGCTGCAGGACCTTGTCATTCTGGCAGAGAGTGAAAGAATTCCAATTGCTCTCTTTTTGCCTCTCCCAAATGGTCAGCAGACTGCGCCAACAACAGTTCACTTCTAGCCAAGCTGTCAAACAGACGAAACGAGATCGCCGACATTGTAATTCAGTAGCAAGGCAGACGCTAAAGACCTTCGCAGCCTTGCGAGGTCTTTTCCAGCAAAGCCAATCGCGCAAGCACCTCTTAGCAAGATGATTGACAACGCACTCAATGTGAGAATTGCTGCCGCTAAGGAGCGAGGGCCCTCTCTGGGCGACAACCATCACGTTTTGCAAGCAGATCAGATCTCGGTTTGAATGCACAAATCTGCAAAATCTCTGCCAGCTGTGATTTTACTTTCTCCCGCTTAACAAGACGCTTATTCGAGATGCAACCATCACATCCACCCACAGCTCCTTAAGCACCTAGTTGTTGCATCTTGAGGTCAGACTGGCAAGACTCCATCGAAATGCCGCAGAAATCTTGGTGTATAGATTAAAGCATCAAATATCTCTCTGTTCAGCCCACAATCAAGTGTGCAGAGCTCAAGGAGCTCAACGACAAGCTGGAGCTCTTTGCGGAGGACCTGCTAGGCACGCATCAAAATGTCAATTGGGCAGTGAGCACGCAGGAGCCAGCTTTGATTTAATTGAGTCACGTTGGAACAGCTGAGTTCAACATTCCTCAGATTGCCAACCTGCACAAAGTGACCTGGGCAATTCTTGGCCAGCTCCAATTCCAGCGGTCTTGCCTGGGGGACGCTCCAGCAAGAGGCCTCCCAGAAACCTGGTTGCAATGGCAAGGCATGAAGCCTTGTTGCAACAGCACAAGCACAAATTTGCACCTCTTGAGCTACTTTTGGCAGATTCACGCAAAGCAGTCAAGCAGCAAACCTGTGAGAGATGCCAGCTTTGCTGCCCTTCAGCAAGAGGCGGCCGAGAACCTGGCCGCCATGATGCAAGGCATCCAAGCCTTGGCAAACAGCCACAAAGAGGACTTTGCCAAGCTTGAGCAGCGTGTAGTGGGCCTGGCCTTGGCTGACCCCAATGCCAATCAACTCACTTTGCACAATGTGCAACAAGAGTCGGCCGAGAACCTGGCCGCCATGATGCAAGGCATCCAAGCCTTGGCAGACAGCCACAAAGAGGACCACGCCAAACTCAAGCAGCGTGCAACAAGAGTCGGCCAAGAACCTGGCCGCCATGATGCAAGGCATCCAAGCCTTGGCGGACAGCCACAAAGAGGACCACGCCAAACTTGAGCAGCGTGTATTCAACTTGAAC